GTGACCACCTTATAAACATGGGCGTAATCACCATTTTAAAAGTGGGAGGACACACTGTTGGGGGGTCTGGGGGTCCTCCCCCAGAAAATTTTGAACTAAACAGATGCCATTTCCAGCATTCTGGTGTATTTTACCAAGTTTTTAAACATACTCTTACCTACATGAATAAACACTTGATTTAATAATTATTTCAGAGACAAATTATTCATTAAACTAGTTCAGTCATCCTGTTTTTAACTCACTGCTACAGCTGAGATATGATTAATTAATGTGACACAATTTATCATATCTAATGACTTTAGGGGTGCTTTTTAGTTTTACATTGTTTATTGATTATTGATTTATTTTTAATTGTAACACGTCATTGTGCCAAATAATGAYGACCCTCAGCTGCATGTTTAAAACTAATATTAATAATTTTACCCAATGAACAGGTGCAATATTGATAATCACCAACAGTGAATTTAGAGGGATGTTTCACTATTTCTGATTCAGTGATAGGTCTACTCATAACCAAAAGGGACAGAGCATCATGCAGCCCTCATAGCATAAAATGTCAAAAAAARAACTTTTGTCACCATAAGTCCAAATGTTGACACCATAAGTCAGATTACATGGGCTTATGTTCTGTATATAAAGAAAATCATCACTTCCTTGTCATTACTCGTCTTCAGTGATAGAGCTCGGTGATGTTTCAAACTGTTAAACACTGCCACCAACTATTCAGGAGGATTATTACACCCTTAAAGGTTGTTTCACTGTGTAAGGGGTGTGTACAGCTGGGTGGCCAAAGATTTGTCTGTGGTGGCCGTGGTCATGGCCACCCCTGGCCAYCCCCTGGCTCCGCTCCTGGCTGAAGGGCTGTTTTAGTCAAACCTGGTAAATGTCTCAAGAGATATCAGAATCAGAATACTTTATTAATCCCTGAGGGAAAWAWCAGAGATGTTTGGTAGCCCTCAGAGTATCTGACGAGGAATACTCTAAGCTATGAACACACCATAATATCTGAAAAACTGGAGGAGTTACAGCCAATTTTGGGCTTCCTAAGGTTAGCTGCCTGACAGTCATTTTAAATCAGATTGACTAAAAGGATTAGTGGTTCATGAAATATGTCGCTAACAGACGTAATTCCGACAGGTAATGGCAAAATTTGAAAAACAAATTTTGCACGATAAGTTGGTGCTTAAAGTATGCGATGATGGTGACTTTCAGCTACCATACCAAATTTTAGCCAAATATCTGCAAATTTGACTGAATTACAGCCATTTTTGTGTTCACTTAACTGGTGTTGACTCTGAAGGTTAATCATTTGTAGACTTTTAAGATAATTTCATTAAAATCTGCCCACTGGTTCATGAAATATTTTGATAAACCTATAGAGAAACGCATACAGACAAGGCTGAAAACACAACTGTCTCTTGCCTCCGTGGCAGGTGACTCAAAGAAGAGTTTGTTAAACAGGTTGTAACACCTTTATCTGCCGAAGCGAGTCAGTGGTCCATGTGAATAGCAATCAGTCCTGCCTGCTCAGGAACCCCTCCTGATTCTCTTTGGTGGCAGCTGCTGAGGAGAGCGGAGCTGGACTGGATTGCCCCGGACTGGCAACAGCGTGGACTCCTGACAGAGCGGGACATGAAATATTCAGCTGCAGCACAGAGGCAGACGGCCTGTGAAGTGTCTGACTGTGCTGCGCAGGAGTGTGGCTGCGCTCCAAACGTGCCGCCTGCTTCGTTTTGTGTGTGGGCAGCGGGAAGAGGCATGAGGTGAAGACAAAGACTTTACTCAAGGGGGGAAAAATAAGGACTAATGAAACCAGTGTGCTACCATTAGGACAGAAAATCTTCGTTTATTCAGCTGAGTCAACAAATCAAAACTGAACCACRGGAACAGTTTGGGAGCATCTGAGGCTCTGAGAGGAAGGAAAGGATGGTAATATGATCTGCTTCAGTAGCAGCAATGCTGCAGGAAATTACTGGCTAACAGATACAGTACTTACTGGGTAAAATAATAGAGTACTTAGAGGGTAACATACAAAGTACTTTCTGGTAATATGCAGGATACTTGCTGGTTAATAAACAAGGTACTTCATGGTTAAAATACAGGGCACGTAAAGGGTCCCGTACAGGGTAACATACTGGGTACTTACTGGGTAACATACTGGTATGTATAGAGTACATACTGGTTAACATACAGGGTATGTACTGGTTAACATACAGGGTACATACTGGTTAACATACAGGGTACATACTGGTTAACATACAGGGTACATACTGGTTAACATACAGGGTACATACTGGTTAACATACAGGGTACATACTGGTTAACAT